AACCATTTGTAAAGTACAGTAGCAGCCATTCAAAATGGCCTTTCCCAGTCAGAAGCTAGACGAATGGCAGCCGAAAAGCAGCAAAATCTCCTCTAACTTCCAGCCGTTGACCTTCTCATGGCCGTGCATATTTTTTTTTACCCTAATTGGGTTTGACCAGGAGATAATGCTTCTCTTTAGTTCATAGTGTCCACAAATCATCACAGAAAATTTTAGGTGTATAAAAATAATTTGTAGGTGAATAGCCAAGGACCAGCCAAGGGCATATCAAGGAAAGCGGGGAAATTTTGAATGCCTACAACTGTAACCTAGTGCAGAAGAGTTGTGCAGTTTATAACAGTGTCAGATTGCATCAAGAAGGTTCTCTGTTAGATTCCTGGTCCAGGATCTTTCTGTATGGATGTTGTATGTCCTCCCTGTGAATGCATGGGTTCTCTCAGGGTACTCCGGCTTCCTCCCACAGTTTATAAAAAGGATTGCTAGGTTGATCTGCTTCCCCAATTTTTTCTTGTGAGTTTGGACAATTCTTTGTGAGCAGAATTGTGCCTTGGTGCTCGCTGTGTCCATAAAATTAACTTGGTGGTTGTGGAGAATCTATGCTTTCTAACGATGTCTAACATGTCTATATTAGCAGCATACTGCTGTGTTTCATGTAAAAACACAAAACAGAGCGTCGGCAGTCTGTGTCTAAGTTGGGTGGAGTCCTTTATAATGGGTAGCGCCCGCCCCCTCCTTATTAATTTGTAATTGTCCGAGGTGAAGGGAAGGCTGCAGCATTTTCTTATATAAAGTCCTAGGCCGGAACGTTTGTACTTGCTGTTTCTTGTACATCTATAGCATAATTTTTATGTCACCGACCTGAGCCCGCAGTTGCCAGTCTGAGTGCACAGGGAAACAGATGTGTAGCATTTAGACCTAAGCCTGCTCCTGGAGTTCTAACATGGCAGGAGAGGACTCGCCATTATGGGGAAAAGAACAATACTAAGAGTTGCTCGTAATTAAATAAAATTGTAATTGTATTAAGATGAATGGCTATATATCAGTCAATAATGTCCGCACTTTAGCTCTACCTTATAATGAATCTCTTGAAGATCAGGAAGGAAAACTGATTCCTATATTTTACTTAGAAATTAATTATTATTCTGAGAATGTAATAATAATGTGGAATGAAGACTAGCACTCCCATTATGATTGCTACTTGGTATAGAATTTAATACAGTAGAGCAGAAATCACATTAGCTTTTGTCTCATTTTTACTGTTGTAAGTAAGGTTAAATTATAAAGATTCTGTTCACCGCATGCTGTGGGCCTACATTCCATCAAACATATTGGATCTTTTAAAATCCTATAACAGACATTTAAGTGTTTTTACTCTGTAGTGCACCCCACAAATCTACATGTTTTAGGTAATGCTATCAACTGTTTTTTTCACAGCAGTAGTTCTTTTCAATTTTACCCTGGACATACGTCATGTATTATTTTTGAGAATATATTTAAAAATACCAAGATCCAAATTTATCCTGTATTTTCTATAATCAATGATATTATTATTACAATATTTTATCTCCACCCACAGTGGTACTACATTTAATGAAATTGTAATAATAGCAGGGCTCCAGTTTTTTATATAATCAATAAATTAGTCAATATTTTTTTGTTTAATCAATATTTCTTACCTCTTATTCCAAGTTTAACACAATTTAAGTGGCAGAGCAAATCCTTTTTGTTCTTGCTTTTCCTTTTTAGGGGTTGCCACAGCAAGTCATCCACCTCCATCTGGTCCTACCATCTTCATCAAAATGTAAAACACCATTAAAAAAGGAAAAAAAAAGACATCAATATCATCCCAAAGATCATCATCAATATCATCGCCATCTGACCCTCCCGTTCCTCCATTTAGACTCAGCTGCTGGGGGAGCAAATCTGTTTATATGAATCCAGGAGAATAAGAAATAGCTACCCTTCAAGTCAGGCTTATGGAAGCAAGATTCAAATAGACACAATTGTTTCTATTCAGGTAGATATTTTTGATTAACTTTCTTGACCTTTTCTGCTGGAAAATCATTCATACTTATATAAGTTATTCTCTCCTTTTCAGACATCTCACTTTCTCCATGTTTTATTCCATTCTTTCCAACTGACTTCGAACCACAACTGGCCTACAACCCTCAGCAAGAATCATCTTCATTTTTTATTTTGATGAAATATCATCTGAGTCTGACTACCAATAGCTCAGCATATTCCATTAAATAGGCCAAGCAGCCTCAACATGGCCTGAGCGACTGCCGACACCTTACGAATTTCCCAATAAACCAGGCATTCGCCAAGTAAGTGACCAGAAATCTTGCTATCAATAATCCAATTATGAACTCCTCTTCGACATCCTACACCGACAGTACAGACAGGGATCTTCCACAAGAGATGACAAGAAAGGTGTCTGCCTTTGCTGAGAGCAGAAAGAGACAAAGCAGCTGACTGAAGAATCAGAAGCAGCAATCAGTTGCTAACTTAGGCTTCATTCTCAGCAGCTCTTTCAACCACAGGTTCATTAATCTTAACATCTCGAAGAGTAACTACCAACCTGATCATTTCAAAAATGCAATGACACCAATTTTAAATCGCATCTCTTGACATTTATCCACCTATTGATTTGTTTGTAGCTTGCCACCATCACTGTGTGACTGTGTGCGTGAATGGATAAATGACTGAATGTAGTGTAAAGCGCTTTGGTCAAGTTTCCTAACTTGAAAAAGTGCTACATAAGTACAGGCTATTTACCATTTTGTGTTCATAACACTCCACCAAACTAGGTGTTGCTAGATGAACAAGCTGCAGCCAGTCTAGATAAATGCAATGAAAATTGCATGTGCAAAACTGCTACTAATCCTGGCCTAGACAGCAAAGTGGTATACAAAAATATTGTTTTAACAGGTGCAGTTATCTCACCTGAAATAAAATTACTGCCTTTTTGCTCTTCAGCCTCATTCACCATGGCTGTCCGCCCTCACCCACTATATAAGGGTTACTCCATTTTATATGAGAGTACGAAGTCTAGTGGATGAAAAAGTAGTGGACTCAAAATTTTACACAATACTGTTGGGATCCTCAGGCTTGCCCACCAGAGGGCGCCGAGGATCCTCTTCTGCTCTCTTTGTCTTTCCCTTAGGGCTGGAGTCACTGTCAAGGTTCTGGAGATTACCCTCTGCCTCCAGCAGAGTGCGCCGTGGGTCCTCCTGAGCTGAACCTCCCACACACCTGTGGCTGATCTACTAATCAGGAGGACCACAGTATATAAGCTGACTTCAGACCTTGATCCCACGCTGCAGTGTTGATCTTAGTTGGTTAGCTTCCTGAACCTCTGTCACAGATGAATCTTTGTTATCTCTAGTGTGAGATCAGATTCTAATTCTTCCTTGTCTCTGCCTCACAGGCAGGGGCGGATCTAGACTTTTATCCTTGGGGTAGCAAGGGGGTGGCCAAGTGTATTTTAGGGGGGCAATGGTTTATACTTAAAAATAACAAAGTTTATGCACTAGCGTTAATGTCGCAGCAGAAAACACCAACCGTCTGTAAGCAATCGAGTGCTGTATACCTTTTCATGTCACGTTTAAATTATTATTCACTATCATTTATTTCTACATGGACTTACAGATGTTGGTCCTGTCTTGTGTTCTTCTTTGACATGTCATGAGTAATGACTTATCATTCTTGTTATACTCTATATGTACACACACACACACACACACACACACACACACACACACACACACACACACACACACACACACACACACACACACACACACAAACACACTTCTTTCAACATCAAACTTCCAGGGGCTACAGATGAAAGCCAACTAGTCTGTGGTTATCTTTGGTGCATAATTTACAAGTTAAATAAGGCTTATTGACCTTTCTTATATAAACCTTGTAAGCAGTAATTTGCAATCATATTTAAGTAGCCACATACCAAGCAGACAAAAGGTGCAATTTTGAGTACAATTTGTAGTTTATTTATGCACAAAATGAATATGGTGCATTCTTCAACTCTCTGATAACAGAAACACAGATCAAAGATCCCACTCACCCAGCATACAAACTGTTTTCCCTGCTACAATCAGGGAAGCACAAGCAGACTGGGAAACAGCTTCTTTCCACAAGCCAGATTCATCAACACATTGAGGAAAACTACATTTAACATTTAAATGACATTGGAGAACATTCCATGAACATTTCTTTCACCATGACACTTGCACTTTACTCTTTGCACATTGCTATTGTCCATAAGTGTTAGTCTTCTTCTTCAGCACAAGGTGTGTGTGTGTGTGTGTATGCTATCAAGTGTTTAATGTGTATGTGTGTGCAAACTTCTGTGATGACTGTGTGACATAGATTTTTAACAATTACGTTCACTTGACTTGATTTGAGTGCAGAGCATGGTGATAACTTCAAAGAAGCATAATTCTTCTATTTTGATGAGAAGTGGCAAAATTATTGACAAAATCATCCATGTCAAGGGCACGTGCCCTCCTGGACTCAACACTTAGAATGGCTAGATGATTCAACCGGTCATCCATCATTGTTGTCCTGAGATGTGTTTTTATTAGCTTTAAGGCAGAGAAGCTTCTCTCACAGGAAGCAGTGCTAACAGGTATAACAATGGCTATTTTGCAGAGCCTGAATAGCTCGTGAAAAACTTCTTTGTAGGGCTCAAGAAAGACAAGAAATTCAAGCAGAGAAGCTGGTTTGTCTAAACCCCTTTTCATTCTCCTTTCCAGTAGCCGCTTTGTTTGGTGAACTTCATGTCAAGGTCACATACATCAGACTCAAAGGTTTGGGCATAGGCAAACAAAGGCTCATTATTTAGAAAGGTTGCACTATTTGGATTGAGAGACTGGACACCATGCATGATCTCACAATTTTTGCCAGAAAAACGCCTATCCAGCTCACTGATTAGACAATCAATGACTTGGTAAAATAATGCTCTGGGGAAATCCTCTTCATTCCAATTTCTCTGCCCTACTGAGCTCATCATCAGTGAGTCCAGGAATTTTTAGCTTATTTTTCGTTGCCTTTTCTTGTCTGCTTGTACACCAATTTCTGTAATTGTGGAAAGTGCTTTTAAGGGACTGTACTAAATCCACAGCCCTTGCTAAGTTGAGAGTGCTGGACTGGAGCATGTCTGACAGACACTTGGCATCCCCAAGTACTTCACAGAAAGTTACCAAAAGCCCCAAGAACTGCAAGTCAATTTGTGAAAGAAGCCCCCTTGCTAGCACTGATCTTTCACCATGTTTTTCAAGTGAGAGATCTTGCAATAGTTTCAGCACTGCAGGAAGTCTGTCCCTAAGATTACGGCATGCTGCATATCTGCAGGCCCACCTGGTGTCTGAAAGTGACTGTAGTTCCCTGGGCTGCTGTGATGGATATAGTTTCTGTTGAACATCAAGCCACCTCAGGTGCACATAAGAGCCAGATATAAAGTTATATAGCTGCTGCAGAAGTGCAAAAAAGTCCACAACCTCAGGCACTGATTTTGTAGCATCAACAAGAACTAAATTTAAGCAATGAGCATTGCAATGCACGTAAAACGCAAATCTGGCTTTGCTCTGTATTTTTGCTGCAACCCCAGAATGCTTGCCACTCATGACAGAGGCTCCGTCATAACCTTGTCCCACCAAGTTGTTCCTGTAGTCTAGACCATGTCTCTCTAAACAACGGACAATCATTTGACTGAGGCCTTCTGCATTGAGGGTCTCAGCTGGTTGGAAGCATAGGAAGCTTTCATGTATGGCACCATTGTAGTAGTAGCGCACTACCAACGACATCTGTTCCTTTTTTTTCAAATCTTTTGTTTCGTCAGCCATAACACTAAAGACTTCACTTTCTTTCACTTCTGCAATTATTTGTTTTTGAACCATATCAGCTAATGTCTGAAGCATTTCATTTTGGATGTTGTGACTGGTGTACTTTGCATTACCAGATGCCTCTAATCTTTGCTGTATGAAGCTGTCATGTTTCGCGATTGTGTCAAGTATTGTCAAGAAGTTACCCTTGTTTTTTGATTCTTGAGACTCTTCATGACCCCTTTGGGGTATGTTTTGGGTGGCAGTCAAAAGGAGTACTTCTGCAATTGTTTTGATGTACTGCCTGTTTTCTTGCACCTTTTTTTTGTGCTTTTCATTTAGCGCATTTAACAAAGTCTGATCTACTTCTTTCCTCTTTTTGAACTCAGACCATGCATACATTGCGTTAATATGAAGCTCAGATCTAGAATGGAGTTTAAATCCTGCCTCTTTTGACAGTGCCTTTTTCCAATTTGAAAAGCCTACATCAGATGTGAAGGCAGAGTCAGGCGCATTGGGCAACGAAAAATGCCTGCAAGCAAAGCAGTAGCAAGAGTTTTTTGACACTGAATACTCAAGCCATGAATTGTTCGTGTACCACTTGCTATTGAAGGCCCTCTTGCTGGTGCCATGGAGAGTCTTGGGGTATTTACTCAAATGTGGCTGAACTGGTACCTCTTCTCTCGATGTTGAAATATCTGTAACATGATACAATGAATCATAGTTGAGAATCAGAGATGCACAAGGTGATCAGAAACAGCGAATTAGCAGGTATCACATAGACATATAGGTTTCAAATAGACCTACCACTGGGCCCTTTTGAAGGTGCAAAGGCAGTGCTGGACACATCTTCAGGCTCAGGTTGCTCTGGGTCTGGGTCGTCGTCCTGTTCAGAAGCCTCAGAGCCTTCCTCAGAAGGAACTATATTGTGAAACAATAAAAATAATATAAATAAATAATGTTAAAAGCAACACATACTATAAATTACATATTATAGAACAATCTCACACTGACTGAACTTGGCATGTCTGACTTGCTCTGACCTGATGATGGTGGGCTGTGTTGTGCCTGACACTCCTCGGTAATGGTTCCAGTTTGGGACTTGTCATCATCTCGGTCCACTCTCACACCTACATAGTAGAAAAATATTTATTTAATAGTATGATCAAAATAAACAACCATTGTCTAAAACTGAACATACAACAATAACCAACATTCAAAATAATGTTTAACATAACTTAAAATGACTGAACTGAACATCTGAAATAATGTTAAATATAATTTAAAATAACTGAACATGTGACTGCTTCTGTATGTTCAAACCTGGCGATGATGACAGGCTGGATTCTGCCGGACTTTCCTGACTAGTCCCAGGATGAGGGCTGCCGGGGCTGCTGATCTGCTCTAAGCCTGATCTGTTTCTCTTAAAGTAGTTATAAATCGTGCCTCCCTGTCTTTTCATTCTCAACTGGAAAAAAAACGTTTTGTTACTCCTAGCATGCATGACTTCTCTTATCAAAGCAAAATGCAACATTTCGTGTCCAAAATGATGCACAAGGAAATTAATGAATACAGACTACATTATTACAGCCTAGAAATATCAGAACACAACAATAGGACATGTCTAGTGACTGCAATCTATCCAGGGGCGTGCATACATAGACACTAGGTGGTGCTAAAGCACTAGGAAGTTTGCCCTTTATCAACGAAAATGCCCTTTTGAAACTCGTTTTTTATTTTTATTATTAAGATTTTACTGAGGTCGGTTTTAAAATGATCTTTTGAAAACCTGAGCCATTAAAAACGACTGAAACAATGCCCCGAAATGAGCCACCTCCTTACACACCCGACCAGCCTATCTCTCTTCCTTTGTCACGTGAACTCGCGCGGTCGCCCGCAGGGCATGCCAGATGCGCAGCATCATAGCAGTTCAGTAAGCATCTTCAGATAGCAGGAACGGTCGCTGACAGGCTGCTTCTCCCATGCCCCATTAGCCAGGTAATATAGAGATCAAGCAGAATCATTTTGTTGTGCATTAAAATGTCTCATTCAGCAGCACCAAACATGCATTTTGCCGACTGGTCACCTGATAAACTAGTTAGGCTAGATAAAGTTTTACACTGTAGCCCAAGTCAATGACAGATAACGTGTGGACGACCACATGGGCTACAAATAATTTCGGTAGAGTTTGCAATTGCAAACCTATGTGTTAAGACAAACGTTTTCTGTTGTATAGGTTTTGTTAGGAAACATTAATTAACAAATTTTGGTCTCTTTATTGTCTTAATTGTATATTGATTTAGTAATTGCAGCACAATGCCAAGAAAGGAGGGTTAATCGTATTGAAAAACCTTAAAAGCTGTTCACATTTTATTTTTAAGTGGTTTGTGCAGCAGGTATTCAAATAGCTATTATTTTGTAGGCTACCATAAGTCATATCCACGTGACAAGACTTCCAGTCATGTTGCCCTAATAGCCCATTATTTAAACTAATGTGGCATATTTGTTAAAGCTATTATTATTATTATTATCATTATTATTGTCATGATGGTTATTATTAATATATTGTAGCCAGTCACAGCAGGGAAGCTCTATACCATCAACATCTACCAGGACAGGAGATGAGGAAGAGTTCAGGGAAGATACAGAGACAGAAAAAGACCAGGATGAGGGAGAACAGATGGATGAGTGAGAACAGCTGGATGAGGGAGTTTTTCATTGAAAACTCACGTTTATAGAATGTTACAAATAAAAGTCAAAATTCATTCAACATGCGTGTGTATTTTTTTTTATAATTAAGTGTTCCACGTGCGCTAAAAAGTGCCCTGCCCCCCTCCTGAGCACCTGCCCCCCAAAATGTCTGTGCACGCCTCTGAATCTATCCATTCAATTAAGGTTTCAGCCTGCCATAACTTTACTGTGGATTACATTTGTCTGCTGCCCTGAGACTAGCTAACTACATCGGTCGTGAATTATCTACGACTAGTAATGCATTTCATGACATGGGCAAACGATTCTGATCAAAGATATTGCTGGTTTCATAATTCAGAAGGTTCTAGACACTGACATTAAAAAAAAGGAAATAGTTTCCGTTCTCGTCAGCAGTATTTTCAGCAGACATGGGCATGAAATCACAGAAATTGACACTGAAACGCATCAATATCACCCACCTGCACCTGTCTGTTTACAGCCAGGCTAGCTTCTAGCCGCCCTTCGTGAAAAGCAAGGGCTTCTCCTTATCATTCTGATTTATGAAACGGACATCAATTGAACAGAGGATGATCCTCATTGACTGAACTTATCAAACTCTTAGTTATTGAGCTTCTTTTATGAATATAATCTGTGGACGTGCAGCCTACTCACCGATATGCGTCAGTCGGTCCAAACGAGAATAAAAGCCATCTCGAGAGCGCGCAGCCTTCTTTTCCCAAAGAATGTTGTATATAATGTTTTGCAGCTTGTTGCACTCGGTGGCTCCACAGGCGCTTTAGTTCTTCTTCTTTCACACTAGATTCACGACTGGAAAGGGGCTGCATAGCGCATGCTGCATTGCGCCATCTACTGTACAGGAAGAACATCGCAGTCAAAGACTTCAGACGTGCAACTGTTTTAGCGGTGCCGTCAATCATCTGGGGTGGCAGTTGGGGTAGCCAATCAGATTTCGGGGGAGTCAATTGCTCCCGTAGCCACCCCTATAGATCCGCCCCTGCTCACAGGAATCCTGTCTCTTCGAGAAAGCTCTGGATGAGCTTAACCTCCTGTCTCTTCGTGAAAGCTCTGGATGAGCTTAACCACCTGTCTCCTCGTGAAAGCTCTGGATGAGCTTAACCCCCTGTTTCCCTGTGAAGCTCTGGAAGAACTGTCTCTCTGGCAACCTGTCTCTGGCCTGCAGCTCTGGGAGAGTTGCATCATAGGAAGCCAGTCCCAAGCCTGACGCTCTAGGAAAGCTAACCTGCTAATCTGCCCTGGTGAGCCAACCCAAGAAGTCTACGTGGATGCTACCTGTCGACTCCCCTGTGGAGTTTCCCTAAGAGGTTCCCATGTGGATTTCCCCTGTTGTTTCCCTGCAGTGAGCTGGAAGCTCAAATCCAGCCATCTCCCTTTCCCCGCACAGACCCCAGCGAATCAGTCCCCTGCCTGAACTGTGATTCATGTGCTTGAGCCTTTAATAAACTCTTTGGACTTTTACCAGTGCCTCCGTGTGTGTTCTGCATCTTGGGCTTACTCTCTGTGACACCCATCATGACAAATACACCTTGAAAAGTAGTGTTCAGCCTTCGTCACTAGACAAGCATGTATATCACAGAATGCTTAGCAATAGCTCTCCTTGCAAAGCATCATGGGATTTGTTTTGGGGTCGAGAGAGAACAAAGATGTTGCACACTGTTGTTGACAGCCATCTTAGATTTAGTCTTAGGTTTTGCCTTCAGGACAAAAACTATTTTTAGTTTTAGTCAAATTTTGTTCATTACTATAGGTGATAGTTTTAGTCCATTTTTATTTGACTAAAACTAAAAACTGATTTAGTCTACTTTTAGTCAGTTGCAATTCATAAACTTTGATTTATGGAATTTAAATATTTTTTTTTATGAATTAATCCTCTACTTTATACAGAACTGCAGATAATAAACTGCAAAATGACAGATCTATTTCAACACATGATACTCGTTAAAATAGCAGACAGACAAGCAGATAAAATTTACAATTTTTACAAAGTAGTGGTTTTAGAAATATAGAGTGTCCATTTAAAAACAAACACTTCCTGATCTACTATGAATTATGGATTACACACAGATCGAATCACAAATGATTCTCATTCCTGCAAAAAAGCAAAGAATAAAAAAATTCTTCTTTCTACTTTAGCAAATTTTGGCTTTATTTCTGAGAATTTGCCCCTATATTACAGCTGCTTAGGGTTAAAAGTAGGTTTAAATTTATATGGGTCTGATATAATAAATTACACAGAGAACCAACAAATTTGCCTTATAATGCCATGGCAATCTGGACCTAAATTTCATAAATATGTGAACTAAAATATTGAAATATTCAAAGGAATCAGAGAAAATGTTTTAATGACAATAGAAGAAAAAATATACATCATATTTGAATAGATAGAAACAAGACCTGAGAGAGCAGTATTTCATTTCCCTTTTCCTTTGGAACTTTATCCAAAAATAAATAGTTTGTAATTCAATATTTGCTTTGGATATGATTTAGGGATTCCTTTTGGTAGAAATTAGCCTTGCTTCACGTCTTGTAAGCTAGAAGGAATAGATCTTGATAGTTAGAAAAAAATATTTTTTACGCTTGGCAGAAAATGATCAGCCACATATAGTTTATTACAGAACGTAGCCAGGGCAGGAAGAGCCACACTGCTGAGAGCAAACCATCATTGTGGAGCATAAAGCACAAACTTGGAGCTAAGTGTGCGCAAAGACACATTTCTGCACAAGCACAGCTGGAAGAGCTTGTCAGAGTTGAGCGTGCAATACCGGACCATTATTTTCATCCCTGCTGCTGCTGCCATGGTCCATCTGTGGTCATGCAAAATGTGCACCGCTCTACACCAGCTTAGATTGTCTAACAGTTTACAGGACAATGATGCATTTTGAATGTCTGACAGACCATACAGCAACATTTTCATTCAGTCTTGACCCATCAAACCCACAGCCATGACTTAAAACATAGTTGGCAGCATCATGCAGTGAGGATCATTTTTATAAAGGCAGCCTAGGAGATTTGATCAATTAATGGGTAGATGAATGGAGCTAATCACAGGATCATCTTGGAGGAAAACCTATCAAGAATGCAAAGTACATTAACCCTGAGCATATAAATAACAATGCCTTCATTTCTCTAACATCCTTGTGGAAAACTTTTGATCTGACCTTTATCAAATAGTTTTATAGCTATAAAAATAACAAATAGTGGAATATGTTCCCTTGATTAGAATGCCTGTATCAAATATAAATGGGAGCCCTATTGTGTCCTCTTCATGTACATGCTATTTGTGAAATTTTGTGGTCATAATAAATAAAGGTTAAATAGGCATTAACTCTACCCTGAACATAAAAGACATCCTGAAAATGTGTTTCTACTTTAGATGATTGTCACAAACTCAGAATGTACGAATCAATATTCTAGGTGAGGCAGTGGAAAAGTTCAAAATGTTTTTTTAAATAAACAACACAGAACGCAGAGCTGTGGATCTGCAGCGGCTGCAGTAGGAGGTGGGGCACCGTCCAACACTGGCACTCTGGTTAAGAAACACAGGTAAGTGACCATGATAATCTTATGGAAGATGATTATCCATGAGGGTCACTTACCTGGTTTAACAGCTCAGTCCAACTTCTCAGAGTGAGACAGGATCCATCCGATGGAGGGTTTGGCAGGTTAGTGAAGTGGGCACTTAGGTCAGCTATAAGGGCAGTGATCATGCAAACCATTATCCAGTGTTTTTTTTTACTTTCTCTTTTA